TGGAGACACCCAACACTAAACATGTTTTATCTTAATCACTGTTTATCTTAAAACAAAACCAATATTCCTCATAACTAATGTAAAGTAATTCCAACTACTTTGCATTAGAAGACTGTAGATACGACTGCTGTAATATGTAGAGGAAAATAAGCCCAAACCATCAATTACCACATTTATATTACCTATGCCATAAAAGATAGAATCTGAACTGTGACCTCACTAAAATGCTTTATTTTTATCACTTTATTTATTTATCTATCACTTTATTTATTTATGCTTACAGAACTGGGGTGCAGGTGCAGTGAGAGTATCCTCCAGGGCAGCAGGTGGGTCAGGAAAGTCTCCCACGCCATGTGGGTCACCTCTGGGCCTGGGGATCAAACTCATGCTGCAGTGGCTTTGGAGAGCTTCATAATACAGTGCTGGAACCCTTTGTGCCACCAGGGAGAGCCTGGTCTGTCCATATTTTTAAGTGGGGTTTTTAATTCCCTATTACATTATGTTGTCGTCTATGTCATTTTATTTCTGTAAGTAACTGCTTGATGTATCTTGATGCTGTCAGTTTGAGCCTGTAGTGCCCAGATATAACCAGCTGGACACTGAACTCAGTGGGGAAGGTCTGATTAGAGGAAGATGTGAGAAGGTCCACTTAAAACTTTACAAATCAGAATTCCTCTCCACAAGATGCTGCTTTTCTTACATGAACCATCTATCCTATTCCTGCCTGTGACTATTGCAGGGGTAACAGTTACCTACAGTGCTTGCTGCTACTTTTGTATAATCAGAGCACCTAAAGAAGCTAGGCCTTAGCAGTAGGAGCTTGCACTTTTAGGGAAGGTACATTTACATGAAAGCTTGTGGGAACAGACTTGGGCCATGGGTTTACCTGGGTTCCCAGTTTGTTCTTGATGCCATAGTCCGAGAGGAAAAAGGAAAGTTTGCAAGGGAGGCAATTTTTCACAGATCCTGAAGCAACATACATCTCTCAGATGCTTGCCATCAAAATTAGGACTGTGGCTTGTCTGCCATCTGAACAACAGTTCCCAGATCACTCTACCATGGTCCACACCCCTAGGAAAAACTATTGTTTGAAAAACTGGCAATCAAGAGTTGAACACAGCTGAGGAGTGGTGAAATGGCTTAAGAGAGGAGAGCCTCCCTTCACTGGGACACCTCTAGCTCCTTAGAAGGCTTAACTCTTGGTACTCTTCAGTAGCAATCTCTTGGCTTCCCATCGTTCTGGTCCTTACCCTCTACTGGCACCTGAGCTCAAGTCACCTGAATAGGTGCAAAGACATCAGTCTAATAAGCAATAGGTACCCCAAGATTCTGGGCAAATAACTTAAAGATTATATTCTGCAACCACTCAATTTCTCTTCAGAGAGCTAAAAAAAACTTAAGAAAATGGGTACAGATGAAACATACCTTAGTATAATAAAAGCCATAATTATGAATCTATAATAGTTTTCTATGACAAGGGTGTTCACTTTCACCATTCCTATTTAAGTTAGTACTAGAGGTTTTAGCCAGAACATTTAAATAAGAAGAAACAAAAAGAATCATTATTTGCAGGCAATATAACAAATACAAAAAACCCTAAAGACTCTAGAAACAGGTGCATAAAGTAGTAGGCTACAAAATCAATATAAAAAAAGTTGCATTCCTACATGGAAATAAGGAATTAGAAAAATAAATTAAGCATGGCACACGGGTGACTCAGTGATGGGAAACCCACGGGGATTACAATTGAGATGAAAAAAAAATGTACAAAATGATGTAAAAATAAACTTGTATGATTAAAAAAAAGAAGAAAGCAAGCAACCCCAGGCCCTCCCTTGTGACACATTGGTTAAAGGACAGCACTGTGAAGCTACCGTAGCCACTGCAGCACAAGTTTGATCCCCGGCCAGGGAGGTGACCCACATGGTGTGGCAGACCTTTCCTGACCTACCCACTGCTCCCCTCAACAGTGTATTTCAGTACATCTATCTGTGTGCTCCTTACTCTGTCTCTGGTGAATCCTCTCAACCCCTCCCCCATCCTGCCTGTTCCCCAGTTCTGTATGCATAAATAAATAAATCTTTAAAAAAAAAACTCTACAAAAAAAAGAAAGCAATCCCATTTATAACCACATCAAAGAGATTAAGTGCCTAGGGATAAATTTAAGGAAATGAAAGATCCACACAATAAAAACTGTAAGGCAAAATTAAAAGATAAAGAACCCATATTCATGAAAGGGGAGAACTAATAATAAAAGGAGTAAACAGACTCAATGTAATTTCTATCAAAATTCCAATGATGTTTTTCAAGGAAATAGAACAAAAAATATTGAAATTTGTGTGGAACCATAAGAGTCTGAATAACTACAGTGATTGAGAAAAAAGAAAATTGAAGGCATCAATTACCTGATTTTAAGCTGTATTTCTTAAGCTATACATACAGTAATTAAAACAGTATAGTGCTAGAATAAAGACAGACACACAGAACAATGGAGCAGAATTAAGAATCCAGAAATAAAACCATATATTTATCTGATTTATGACAAAATCATATATTGGAGAGAGGAAAATCTCTTCAACAAATGATACTGGGTAAACTGAAGAGTGACATGCAAAAGAATGGAACTGTATCACTTTCTAAACTCCACACACAAAACTTAATTCAAAATGGGTTAAAAACTTGGATGTGGCCCTCCCTTGTGGCGCAGCGGGTTAAAGCACAGCACTGAGAATCTAAAGCCGCTTCCGCACAAGTTCGATCCCCGCCTGCCCCGGAGGTGACCACATGGCGTGGCAGACCTCTCCTGGCCGGCCCGCTGCTCCCCTCAGCAGTGTACTTCGTAGATCTGCCTGTTCTGTTCCCAGCTCTGTCTCTGGTGAAGCCTCTCGCCGCCCCTAAGCCTCTGGCCTGTACCCCAGTTCTGTATACACAAATAAATAAATCTTTAAAAAAAAAAAAAAAAAAAAAAAAAACTTGGATGTAAGAGTTGAACTAAAAAATACATAGTAGAAAACATAGGTAAAATGTTCTGACATCTGTAATTGGCCTTTTTTGGGGGGACCTGACCCCATGTCAGGGGAAATGAAAGCAAAAGTAAACAATTGGGACTGCTTTAAATTAAAAAGCTTTGTGCATGGTGAAAGCAAATTATCAGCATATTAAAGACAGCCAACTGAATGGGAAAAAATATTCACTATCACACATCCCATGTGGTGTTAATATTGAGGTATGTAAAGAACTCATGCAATTTAACAATAAAAAAACAAAAAACAATTTAAAGAATGAGTGGAAGATTCTTTTCAATGGTTGACAAACATGAAAAAATGTTCATTACTTATTAGGTAAATGCAAATCAAAGCAGGATATAATTTTACACCTGTAAGAATGGTTTACATAAAAAAGACTGTAAACAAGTGATAGCTAAAGAGCTAGAGAAAGAGAAACCCTTATAAATCATTGATGGGATGTTGAAAGTGGTCTGCACATTCCAAATTGAAAAACAGCTCTACCATATGATTCAGCAATTCTGGATATCATTTAAAGATTATAAATCATCAACTTTAATGAGTTTATGCATTACAATGTTAATTGTAGCACATTTACAGTATTAGTTAAGAAATAGAAGCAACCTATGTGTCCATTGGATAAAGATGTGATTTATAAGTCAATAAGTATTATTCAGCTATAAGATGAAAATTTACCATCTGTAGTAAAATAGAAGGAATTCAAATGGACTAAAAGAGCAATTCTTCAAAAAGACAAAGTCAGATATTGGATGGTTTCACCAATATGTGCAATATAAAGAAGTAAAACAGATAAATGTACAAAATAAACTAGTAGTCATTGAAAAATCAAATTGTTACTAAGGTGAAGGTGGGGAGAGCTAGAAGGAAGCATAGGGAGGGTATCATGGATGGTGCTGATGTAAAGTTTTGTTTTGGGCTGGGGTGGGCAATAAAAGGGGGAAGAAGCCCAAAGGTCTATGGTGAAGGACTATGGACGATTTGGTGATGGGTGTGGCATGGTATCTGAAGAATTATGAACCTATTCCCCTAAATCAAATAGTGTTTTAAACTAATGCCTGCTCAATAAAAATAAAATTAAAAATCCAAAATAATGTACTCAAAATAATAAAAATTGGATTCATATATTCAGAATCAGAAAAAAAAAAACTATAGGAAATGATTTAAAAAAAAAACAGTTTTTCAACTTAGCTTAAAATCTTACTTCAGAAGTTAGTGTTACATAAATGATATAAATAGATGGTAGTAGTGTGGGGAGCTCCCATTGCCTGATATCAATCATATGAAAAAGCAGCTCAAAGCTTTAGGATGCTTAAATGAGAACAGTGATTGGACTGATTTTTTTGTGTAAAAATATCTCATATTAACTTAACCTAACCCACTTTACTTGCTAGATTAACTAATTAAAAATGTTTTATTATTAAAAAATTCTAGCTCAGGAGCACGTAAGAAATCTTAATATGACTCTAGAAATAAATTTATCTAAGTCATTTTGGATACTGAAACAAAGTAGCTCTCCATTTACTAAAGTAGATCTCACATTTAATTTCACCATCTACATACATCCCACATAATCCTCTATCTTTGAAAAATAGTTTTGAGAACTGGCACTCCCCATAAATTATACAAATGAAAGAAAAGTACTTTCAAGTTAAAAGTTAAATTCATTTAAGTTAAAAGGAACTCAGAGAGTTCGTGAATTTTTCTTTCAAACAAGTAACCTTTAAAATCTAAAATCTTTTTGATTTTAAATGGATTTTTGCTAATACATTTATATTTATTAAAAGGGAAGATCATGGAAAAACTCAGCTAAGAATATGATTAATAGAATCAAGGTTTGCAGTATTTTATATTTTGCACTATAGATATGCCTTTACATGTCCAAGTAAATCACATACCACTTAAAACTACTGTACTAATTTAGTATCAACTTCATCTACCAGAAAACACACACACAAAAATAGTGCACGTACAAAATACAGGACTTTTTGGTTTTATTTGATTCTTGTGATTGCTAAGGTTAATTTTCAATGTTATCAAGTAGAAACTTGTGATTGACTTAAGAATTCGAGTATATTAAAAGAAATTGAGAATGTTCACCTGTTACTTTTGACAATTTCAAATGACCTGTTTCTTTTCTTATGTAAATGTGTGTATAGAGGTATATATGTATAGTGCCATTCCTCCTTTAAACCCCTAAAGTCAAAAAATCTAATCACTTTAAAGAAATACTAGCAACTCCTGTCTTAATTCTCTTCACATATTTTTTTCCTGAATCAGTAATGAAGGCAGTGTTTCTGGTCACAATCTTTGAAGAGTGTTATATAAACAAAAATTTGTCTTCATTTTTTTGCTTTTAAGTAACAGATCAAGTAATTTAAAAGGAGGAATAATTCTTATTTTTCTCCTCAAATGTTTCTTTACTAAAGCCAGTTATGCACATCATTGTGAAGAGTGGAAAACAAAAATCTTCCCATGCCAGTGATCTTGTTTATAATAACTATTTGTTATGGACGTGTGGCTGTCGGACTTGACATGTACTTCAGTTCTCCAATGTCCTTACTTCAAGTGCTTAACACTTCTTGAGCTAAAACCCTGGAACACTGTATTTTAAAACCTTTATGACTACTTTAAATCTAACCATCACTTGGCCTTAATTCCCACTACTGATTTCTTTAGTGGATAAATTACATACCCCTTAAGATGAATATGAAGTTACTGTCCTGGCCCACATTACTAAATGAATGGCACTCATAGTTCATTTTGACCAAAAACTATGAAAACAAGGAAGCAATATTTTCTTGGTGTCAAAAAAGAAATCAAGGTCATAATAGTTTTCTCCTAGATTGTATTGAGAAATCAGTGGAGCTTAATGACACCCAAACTAGTTTTGAGATTAACTAAGTAATATTAAAAGATGATAATATTTCTTTGAAACTTACAAGTACAATCTGCATATACATGATTTTGAGAATAATTTAATAGGTTAACTTCAACATACAACTATATTCTAATGTCATTATTTTAAAATGTAAAGAAATAGATCCTTACAAGACCAAAAGTAACCCACAGGCCATGAGATTGGTTTTAACTTTTTCCTTTTGTTTAAACAATTTCACCACAATGGCTCAACAAGTAAGGCAAATACCATGAATATGAAAGCTGCAGCTTGCAATATACCACATCTAGAACCAAGGAAAGGTGAATTAGACAGAAGTGGTAATCATAATAATTAAACAATCAGGTAACGTTGTGACAAGTTGGTTTGCAGCATCAAAAATGTCCACTTAAGTTTCTTTTTTCTTAATGATCAGGGGTCCCACGTTATCTCCAGTCTCTTCGTTGTGTTTTGTGTGAGCGCCATCACAGAATGGAAACTAGGAAGACAAAGAGAGAATATGAAATGTCTAATCACAAAATCAGTATTATATTTGGCAGAGTGGGGATGATGTTTAATTCACATATATAACACTAAAGAGTATATATATTAAATACACAGTGGAAATCAATTTGTGGATACTACATTGATTATAAACAACATTTCCATTTGTGATATCAGACTATGGATGTAGGCACTTTTTCCATGTTTATGTACTAATAAAATTTTCTTCCTAGTAAATTATGTTCACTGCCCATTTGTAAGAACATAAATTTATTCATTTAAAATATTTTTTTTGCATTTTCCCCCAAACCCTTTTATTTTGCTTATTTTTTCACCCCTGATTTTTCCATTTTTATACAAATAGGCCAATAGGTTTGCTTAACATCTTAATGGAGATACATCTGGAGATGTGATAGATACCTAATAAAACTTTCCATGATTTCACATTTACATGTAATTAACAGTTTTCTGTCCACCGGGAGGAAATGGGACAAAACCAAATTCACAGTACAATGTTTCTTAGTGGTAGCTAAAGAACAATGCTAGATGTTGATTCTGTGTTTGAAAAACATACCTTGAATCACAATACACATTGTTACTTTAAAGAGGTCCTGCTTGAAAAACACAATTTTAACCCCAAATCTCCCAAACTGAATGGATTATAGACATTTTTACTGTTGATACCCATTATCAAGGTGTCCCTACAGAGCGCACTTAACAAAATACTGTTCTAAGATCCTGCTATTTTCAGTATTAGAGGCAGTTCCTTCACAGATTTTTATACAAGTATTAATAATTCATCAAAATAAAATTTCCACATAAAAAAAGCCTATTTATAGCTTCTATATTACCATGTTCATCAGCATAGTAATTGCATTTAAAATAGGCCTTAGTGTATGGTAGGGTTAGCTTTCCTTCACATATTCTATGTTAAATAGGAAACAAATATGTTTCCTATTTGTTGCCTAACTTTATCTATTTATTCTTCCAAATAAACTTGGGAATTCTTTTTACTAAGTACTACATTGTTTTTCTTATAGTTTGTATCCTCAGGTACCATGAATTCTCTGATAAAATTATTGGTTTCTTATTTGTTAAATGTTTATTAAGTATATGTTCATATCTGTCTTCTCTTGATATGTGTCTATATATGTGTATGTGCTAACACACACTACTTATATGAATAGTGAACAGTTTGGTCTATTACTCCTAATGCTGAATGATGAAAATAAGAAATCAACAATGTTTTTGGTGTCTACTAAGGATTTTACAATTATTTTGTTTCAGTCCTTCTAAATTTATACCTTCCCCCCCACCGCCCCCCACTTTATGTGAAATTTTGGTAGATAGCCACTTTGTTTTATGCTTGCTATCATGAATGGATATATTTACATTCTAATATCTATAGTTTCAATGTGGCAAGGGAGAAACGTATTTAAAGAGTAAGTACTAGTAGATTCTTGGCTAAGACTAAAATGATCTCATTATTCACAGTGAAGGGAGAATAATTTTAGATACCTGACACTATATAGTGATGGTACATAATTTTAAACTTTGATATGTGTCCATTCTAAGACTAAAATACTACTTGGTAAATGTCAAAAAACTTAATGAGAAAATTACTAAGTGTAATTTAATGTACTTATTTAATGTAAGCTTACTAGTTCTAAGCTTACTAGTCCTTGCAGTAAAAACTTGAATTCAAGTTTTCATTTTTTCCTTGGCATAGATAAGAGGCCATTAAAAAAAAATTCAAACTAAAATGCATCTTCTAGCAAAAAAAAGCATTTCAAATAATAATAAATAATATAGAAAAAACTTAGGGTATCAGCATATATTATAAATTCTATCTTGGGGCAGATGACAATAAAAATGCAATGTATACAAAGCTTACAGCTTACAGTTTTTCATTCTTTCCTTTTTTTTTTTTTAGCTATGATACTTATTAAAAACAAGTCCTTGCAGTAAAAACTTGAATTCAAGTTTTCATTTTTTCCTTGGCATAGATAAAAGGCCATTAAAAAAAATTCAAACTAAAATGCATCTTCTAGCAAAGAAAAGCATTTCAAAGCGATATGTTTAATAAACACAAATGATCTTAGCAAAAATAAAAGCTTACATTATAAAAGATTCCATTTTTATAAATAGAACACACAAAACACACCACTGTATATGTAGTTATAAAATATATTTCTGAAAAATAAAATATTTGTGAATTAAAGTCTCAATTTTCAAGGAAGCCTGTTTATTTTTAGTCTCACATTGAAAATGTTAGAAAACTAATTTACCTTATCACATGATTTTTCTCTATAGATAGAATAAAAAACAGGAAAAATATCTATGGAGAAATATACAAAGAAAATCTTATTAAAGATAAAGTCATATCTGACAGAATTTTTTTACTGAGAATTTATGTTCTAACTAAAAACTGATTATTTGTTTGTCATGATGTTCACAAAAATATGTTAAGTAAAAAAATACTCTTTATGGGCCCTCCCTGGTGGCGCAGCGGGTTAAAGCACTGCACTAAGAAGTTAAAGCCACTTCCGCATGAGTTCGATTCCCGCCTGCCCCGAAGGTGACCGCATGGTGTGGCAGACCTCTCCTGACCAGCCCACTGCTCTCCTCAGCAGTGTACTTCGTTGATCTGCTTGTTCTGCTCCCCACTCTGTCTCTGGTGAAGCCTCTTGCAGCCCCTGAGCCTCTGGCCTGTACCCCAGTTCTTTATGCACAAATAAATAAATCTTAAAAAAAAATACATTGTAATTATTAATGGACTATATTTATTGAAATTAGATTTCAAACATAGCATCAATGAATAAATGATAATTACTTGACCTAAAAATTCAAAGGTAAATCACATAAAAATATGTAGTAGCTTTACATAAAATAATGTACAAAAATAAGATTTTAACTTTTTCATTTAAATTCTAAAATGTGCTAAATTGCCAGAGATTAATTTATAAAACACAAAGTATATATTTAATCCAGTTCATGTAGCAATACTAAAAGAGTTTAGCTCATAATTGATTCTAAAATACTCATTTACAGATTTCCCCTGATATACAAAAGTACAGTATTCCTTTTTCATAGTTATATTTTTTGGTATGATAATGCACAAAAAATGTCCATATAAATGAGTGGTAATAGTGTTTCCAGGCCCAAAAATTAACCAACCACCAAATCATACCAAATTGAAACATTGTATATTTGAATAGTGGGGCAAACATGTAGTACTGAATTCCAAAGAGTTCAATGAATTAAGTAGCTGAAAATATCCCATCATATTTGTTAATAAATTTAGAAAACTACAAATCTTAATATCTTAAGTAATAGGGAAGAAAAGGTGTGAAGAAGTTTGGAATAAATGCTTACAGGGAAAAAAAAACACTGGAGATCCTTGCTCTCTATTTAGAAGGCTAACCTTATTGGGGTCTTCATAAAAACATGAGATTTTTTCTTTTTAATGGCCCCAAATCACAAGCTAAGATGTTCCTATTTTTAGGGTGACTCAAGATGGTAATAAATGCTCCTCCCTGACCTACCTCTCCGATCTTCAACAATGAAAAAAAATTCTCCTCCAAGCTTCCTATTTCTAAAGATTTTGGATTAATTTCCCAATGAATTTGCTTGGTACCATATTTGCTCATTACCAAAAATGTTCTGAGAAACATGCTTGCTTTGATTGAAGAAGAAAACAAAAGCAATTAGAGTTTTGAGGCTACCTGAGAGATTATGTGGCATTTTATGCCATTCTTATGTATCCACTGTAATAAAATGTGAGATAGTAGATATAAGAAAACATAATTAAGATTTTACAAGGTGTCCTTTTGTGAATGGGGCAAACAATGAAATTAACACTCAAGATTATTCTTTTGATGAAGAAATGGACTCAGTATACTTATAGGATTCAAAACCATTAATAGGATTCAAAACCATTAATAGGATGGACTTTGTAATACACCCCCTACATCCAAAACAAGCTCACAACTAATAACAGTATCAAAAACCCAGCTCAAAAACTTAAGTTGTAAATAAAAGAAAATGGTTCTTTATAATAGGCTTAGTTGTATTTCATTTTAGTTTTAGTTGACTTTTGGATGTTTACTGGCATACCTTTCCTCTTGTTTGTTTTAGTCTGCATTCTTCTGCGGTCTTGGTCAACTCTCTTGCCTCCCATATGGCCACCAGACAACTTAGCAAATGATAGTACAACTCACTCAAGGTGAGTGGGGGAGGTAGGAAACAAACAAGACTGATGCAAACTCTTCTCTCTTACATCAATATTCTCTCATTTTGTTTTGAAAGTAAAATTCTCTTCCTGTTTAAGACGAGTTTAACATCTGCATTCTTACTTTCATTTCCTTCCACTTTCTTTTGAGACACTACGTTTTCAAGTAGTATCTTTCCTGCAGTTTATTACCTCTCTGTTAGCCTCTTCTCTCTCAATTCATATATGCATTGCCTTTTTGAGTAATACTATGAAATAAGTGAATTTCTGAAACAGCAAGAGGCATGCCTATCTGGGGTGGAATGAGGTAAGTTAAAAATGTAATTTCTATACACTACCTAGAGATCTGATTCATTAGATCTGAAAAACTATTCATAATGCTAGGGACCCATTATAGGTTATTCATGGTTAGTAATGGTCTATTAATAATCCCTCTATTAATAATTTTAGAGTGAGTTAGGGTTAAAGTATTTTTACACATGACATTTCTGGAGTAGCTAAAAAATTAAATACAAACTTCATATAGCTATCTAATCAAAGATTATTAGTTATAGATCTTTTGTTCATTGGCATGTCAGTGCATGACTTGGCATCTGGGTGATAAATAGATAATCATAGGTACTGAAGAATGTGGGGACTTTCCAAAGATGTCCAAAGAATGAGAACGCTCACTAATTTCAATAGTATTCAAAGTAAACTGGTAGTTGATTCATCTGAGAATAAAAAGTTCCCAAAATTCAGTGAAAATTTAGCACTGACAGGGTCACAAATGGCATAAAAGACCAAAAAAGACTGGTCTGGCATTCCTTATCCTTAGTTTAACCATCTGAAAACTAAATTGTATGATCAAAAAACAAGTCTGGATTGTTATATTGAACTTTAAGTCTAACAAACAGTTAGATCACCAGCCTGCGTTTTTTGTGAGTCTTCATGAAATAATTGAGAACTTGTTCATGAAAGCTCATGAACGTTGGGAAAACCAAAGCAAAGCAAACACCCTTTTTTTAACCTCACCTAAAGCTAAGCTAGGCTTTGGAGTACATTCAAGCAATTTTTCTTTCTATTTACTCTCATATTTGCTGACAATTTGACATATACTTAACTGTCACATTTCTTTATTAGTAATTCATACTTCAACCCACTTGGACACAGCTTCTAAATGCACTGTTTAATTGAACACCAGAGGTCAACTGCCTAACTGTTTAATCAACAGAGATACTCTAAGACTATTTTCCTGGTTGATTTTACGTAGATTGATGCTCACAACCAAATTTTCTTTGAAATGCTTCTTTTTTCCATTGTTGAAGTCCTGATACTCTTAAGTAATCTCCTACTCTGATTCATTTCATATCCCTTGTTTAATTCTTATGCTGCCTTCCAAAATGCAGAAAATTCTCTTGGATTTCATACTCAGTCTGATTTTTATCTGTATGGAAGAGTTGTTGCATTCTTATACTTGACTCATCAGTTTTGCTGATCTCTATCTCCAACTCTGATGCTTAGGCTTTAGCCCCATATTTCAGGTTGTTTATGCTGTACATTTCCATTCAAGAGTCACCTCAATTCCACTCTTTGAAATCAAACACCTTTTCATTGTCCTAAAATAATCAGTTTTTTTTTCACCCTGAATTCCTTATATTTTGTTAATAGCACTATCTCTTTTAATCCTACATGCTTAGATATTTCAGTAAGCTTTAGTTTTTCCTTCCCAAAATTCCTACACAAATCAGTTATAGCATTTGGGTGATCCTTCCCTTAATATATGTCAGGTTTTGCTCATTTTTCTGTCTATGCATCTCTATACCAATAGCTAGCAGCATAGTGGAAGTATGATGACTTTATGTCTGAAATTCCTGATAAGGAACTCTCAAGCCTGGAGACAAAAACTCCTAATGTTGTCACTCAAGACTCTTCTTACTTGGACTTACTCTGGAAAAGAACAGGACTCAATACACATATTGCACAGCAGACCTCTCCTCAAGGGCCAGAATAGATTCTTCATTCATCCAAACTTTACTCAAATAAGTCTTTTCTCATCAGATCTTGAGAGTCCCCAGGTCTAGCTAGTTTATTCAAACCCCACCAAACTTTCCAGGGGCCAAACTGTTGCATTTGTCACTATGCCTTCCCTGAAAATCCAAATCCCCAGGGAAAGTTCTTTTTGTCTAATCTTCCTTTTAATTTAGAGCACTTACACTTTATATACTTACTATGCAGTTGTCCTCACTTATTGATCCTCACTTATTGATATGTTCCTAGAAACAGCAACCTTAAGAGAAATGCTATATAACAAAACTAGGTCCCTCAATAAAATCATTTTGTTTAATGTCAAGGGTTGTTTTGTTATTTTTTCTCATCAACATTATAATGAAATGATGTTCAAGGAAATGACATCATTTTAGGGCGTGCTGTACATATCTATGCCAACTGCTGTTTCACTATTTAGCTTTCTTATGCATATAGACATGAAATAAACTATGATAACTGATTTAAGAATTATTACAATTCCAGTTTAAAATTCCACAATTTCTAGGCATTACTTTCTATATTTTGATGAATAACCAGAGAATAAAACTAGGCATAATTAAAAACAAAACTAAGGAGATCTAGTCCAAAGAATACTGAGAGATATTTTCCAGCAATCCACTAATATTTATTAACAATCTACCATTCTAAATGAACAGTGTTCTTATGATTAAATTTGTAATAGGACTGTTAATTTTTGGTTCATATTCCATATAGTCATCATGCAGTTTTTGGGTATAATGACAATCATTAGATTATATAGAACATTAACATCAATTGTACTAGAAGAAAGGGGTTAGAGGAATATACTTCCTAGTAGCTTGTATGTAACATCTTATTTGTGGCATGTGATTTGTAGGAAGAGGTTCCTGATATATGTTTTTGGTAATAGACACATCATTTTTAGGTATATTTTCTTGCCATTTTTGGGTCTTATCTTTAATAAAATTTATTTTATTTAAATGCAAATAGTAGCAGTATATACAGTACTTTTCTCATATTTCTCACAATGCACTAGAAATTCTGAAGTTACTCAGTATATACAGCTTTTCAAGTTGACCTTAAGATAGCATTTTATAATCTTCATATCACTAGCTGTCATCACTGTCTAAAAGCTGCAGATATCACAGATGACACTTCCAAGCGGAATTTGATGAATTGTAATTTTCTCGAAAGTAAGATTAAAAAAAAAAATCCTGTTAGATACTTAACTACAGAAACTGCAGTTCAAAGGTTTAAGATACAGGTCAGATAAATTTATAAGTTTCTCTTGAAACTTTTTGAGCACTCTTTACAAGAAGAAATGTTTTTGTTTGTTTTTTAAGATTTATTTTATTTATGTATACAGAACTGGGGTACAGGCCAGAGGTGCAGGGGTGGTGAGAGGATTCACCAGAGATAGAGTGGGGAGCAGAACAGGCCGACTAATGAAGTACACTGCCCAGAGGAGCAGTGGGCGGGTCAGAAGAGGTGGCGCCCCGGGGCAGGCGGGTATTGAACTGATAGGAAAGTGGCTTTAGTTTTTCAGTGCTGTGCTTTAACCGGCTGTGCCACCAGGGAGGACCATTACAAGAAGAAATGTTAACAAACTTATCAGGACACCCTGGTATCAGAGTCCTTTCTTAATACTTTCTCAGTGCTTACTGAGGCAAGTATGTATTTTCTATTGAGTGATGCATGCTAACACCACTATAACCTGAGTTTGATTCCAGGGAGCTAATACACATATGGCACAGCAGACCTCTCCCTGTCTATCCCACTGCTCCCCGCAGCAGTATATTTCAGGGATGTCTTAACCAGTTTTGTGATACAAATGTGACAGAATAATATAAAAAGAACTATGTATTACATTAAAAATGGTATCCTCACCTTTTTGGACCTCCAACAACGGCAGTACACAGCTTTGTCTCCCAAATCCTCCATGTCAAAAGCATGTACTATCTTGGGGTTGTCTTTCTGGATATGAAGGTTCACCATAGATTTGTTGCGATGATCTTTACTATAAAATCTTTTATAAGCTAGATAACCAATTGCAGCTGTCCCAGCAGCAATGGTAACTGCTGCAATCCATTCCACTAGAGCAGGGAAGGAAAACAGGAATAATCATCAAAACCAAAGTAAACACTAATGTCATACATGAATGTTCTGGAAATCCATTTGAGAATTAAGTGTCTCAAGAGCCACAAGTTTTAAATATTAACAAAATGACCAGACCACCCTTGTGTAAGAGTTCATTCTAAATACTTTCTCAGTCCTTACTGAGGCAATTGTGAATTTTCTACTGAGTGATGCATGCTAACACCACTACAACCTGAGTTTGATCCCCGACTAGGGAGCTAACACAACATACAGTACTGTAGCAGACCTCTCTTGTCTCTCTCACTGCTCCCCTCAGCAGTGTATTTCAGTAAATCTGCCTTCTTTTGCTCCCCATTCTGTCTCTGGTGAATCTTCTCACTGTCCACATCTCTGCCTATACCCCAGTTCTTCAATGTATATAAATAAATCTTTTTTTTTTTTTAAGATTTATTTATTTGTGCATACAGAACTGGTGTACAGGTCAGAGGTGCAGGGGCAGTAAGAGATTTCACCAGAGACAGAGTGGGGGGCAGAACAGGATGACTGACAAGTACACTGCTGAGGGGGGCAGGAGGGGAGTCAGGAGAGGTCTGCTGGCCATGTGGATCACCTCGGGGCAGGCAGGGATCGAACTTGCATGGAAGTGGCTTTAGCTTCTTAGTGCTGTGCTTTAACCCTCCACTGTGCCACCAGGGGGGGGACCATAAAGAAATCTTTTAAAAACTAACATGTGAACCAGTAGACACTACTGCTTAAAAAGAAAAGATAAACATTCAGATTACAGACAAGACCAAAAGCAAGCAAGCAAGCAAGCAATCAGGTGATTATGTTGGAAAATGCTCATCAGAGTTCACTTAAATACTAAGATGTATAACCACTAACAGAATTTGTAACTGAAGAAAAAATAAAAAGGGCAAATAAAACAAAACCACCCTTATTGTTAACCATTCCAAGCAATATATTCAGCAGGATTATGGATTTGTCACTCAAAGTTCTTTTTTTTAATTTCAAAATGCTTTCTTATTAAAGTAAAAATCAAAATGTACTGACTTCATATTTCACAGAAAACATGACTAATGTAACTAGTTATATTCTTATTTAATAAGTTCTAAATTTCCATTATCCACCAGTGGATGATTATCTGACTTCTTTACAAATTTCATTTTTAAATTTGACATTTTCCTAGTCAATTATTTTCTTGACTACCAGGCCATCTATTCTTTTCATGAAGCCCTTAGAAAGGCAAGCACTTAACAACTAACTACCCCACTTCCAGAGATCGCTGGAGAGAAGAAAGTTCTGCATAGTCTGGTTAGCCTCAGAAGAGAGTTGTCTATTTCCAGCATGGAGTGGACTGCAGGAAGAAGTTGAACAGGGGTCAGGATAAACACAGTGGACTGCTTCCCAGCACTTCCTGAGTAAAATCTTCAGTGTTTGAAATAAGTTCCCAGACTATCAAATAAAGGCCTAGAGAGATAGGTACAAAAAACACATTCCAAAGCCAAATAAAAACATATAGTGAGTAGTTAACCAACCATATGGCTTATTAGCACTACTGGGTTAAATTTCTTATCTCACTAACACGATTAATCACTATACCTAATACGGCCTTATATAAAATTCGAACTCAGGAAACTAATGGAAAGGACCAACCATACTCACAGTTCCTTTTATTATGGTTTTTTATTCTAGCTTACTTAATAGTTTAGTTTTAGCAAACATTTCTAGTTAGCATGATCCTTGTATCCTATTTTCAGTTAGCTACTTTATTCTACCAAGTCATTTAGTTTGTTTTTCTTCCCACAACAATTCCATTCTTCCTTGCTATAACTCTCTCAAATGAACATAAACATTATGTACTTCTCAGGTACTGTATGACTGGGAAAACAAGTTAGTAAGTCATATGACAGCTTCAAACCTTTGGCCTAGTAGAAGGATGTTTTTCTAACCCACAGTTTATGTAAATTTGTGTTGAACTGCCACATTCCAAGCAGGGCTGCAAATTTGCTTTGCCTACTAGCTTGATTCACCATCTTACTCCTTGATGCAGTATTTTCCATGAAACTCCCTTGAGAAAATATTCTGTAAGGAACTAGAGCAATCCACTTGTTAGCTAATGGAAAGCCACTCTGAATAGCTAATATACCTTTCATAAAATGGGCTAAAATATTGTTTTGCATAATTAATTTCTAAAATATTATTTCAGTAGCATTTAATGAATGTTATCTTTAGTATAAGCTTAAAAAAGGAGAAATAACCCAAAAAGACTAATATAGCATAACTACCTAAATGTTGTTGATCTTAGTTCAACCTTACTTTTTAGATCAATTATGAAGTACTCAGAGTTATTTCAACAGTGCCTACATAGTACTGAAAGGCCTGAGACCCAAAGAACAAGTATAATTGGCTGGTATTAATTGTTCTCACAATAATAAAAAAAAAACTTATAGCAATTTCTACCTGAAATTCATGATAGGCCAAAAGAATCTTTATTAGCCATTAAAAGTCTTCTCTAATATTATCAGCTGAATATATACAGTGACTTAAAAAAAAAAAAAACACACAACAACAAAACTTTTACCACTCTTGAACTTTTTTGATAGTGGAAGAAATGAAAATAACTGACACTGAAGAGACTGTCATTATTTATTGATTATAAGGAAAGGGAAAAAATGCAAGATGACTCTAAATATCACTTCAGTGGCTGTGCCAGGGGAATAATAATATGCACTCAATGCCTCTGCCCCTAACAAGGGTCATTTATGACCTCATATAAATGTCAAACTACCAGATGTGTACTAGAGAAAAGACTTTGTATTTTCACGAATGAGTTTACAGAGTTTAGAATCACAAGGCTAGATAAGGTCTTAAACGAATTTCAATTTCCCCCCTTTCCAAATTCTAATTCTCTAATTTCAGAAGGGGCAAATTTAAGTTTCCAGAATAAAAAAAATGTTCTACTTTATCATTTCATTACTGTACCTGAATCAGTCTTTTCTGGTAAAAAGTTGTGGATGCCACTGGCCATTAGAAGGGGAAAAAGAAAAAGGACACTATATTGAAATAGAGAAGAATGACAATGGATACCAAAGTCACCAGTTAGGACAGAAAAAGAACTGAAAATCTTAGACAGTAAACACATACACCATATAAAACCCAGTAACATTTAGCCCTTGATAGTGTATATATCTATTAAAAATAGACACAATCTCTGAGGCAAAACAAGGGACTTTCTCATGACCCAATTTTAAAAGGTATTTCTATTGCTATCTTTCAGACCTGGGTTTCAGAAAAAATCCTAAGAGTGTTATTTCTACATTTTCTGGTTTATTTTCATTTTCATTTTCTATAGATATCTCTCAAGGTAAAGCATTCCTATAGTTAGATCAAACTCCACTTTGTGTAAACTTGTTTAACAATGCTTTTTAGCTATAAAAATACCATTAATGAGTGAACCAATATAAAGAAAACAGCAAAAATATTTCTAAATACTCTGATTCTACCCCCAGCTCCCTTTCCCACTCTTCTCTTACTACTATTATATAATCTTTGGTTTCCTCTTAAAATTATTCAGAGGTGGAAAAAACATAAACTTGTTCCAAAATCCCACACCCTTGTTAAAAATCCACTCCTTGGCTTTTCTCTACGATGAGGTATTACTTTGCTTTAATTTAGAGATAAATCTCACCCTGCTTCTTTTTCTCAGCCCATTTTCTGCCCCAAACTGCCTTCTGCCCACTGTCAACTGCCACAGAATCAGAATGTACCTGTCCTCTCAGGTGAGGGGGAGGGGAGTATGTTTAAATCTTTCACTCCTCCCAAGTCTTCTCAATGTTGCTTATGCTGCGCCTACTAATGTTTTTCTCCCAAGGCTTGGTACAGGTGGTGTATTAATGTATTAATGTTGGTTAAATAAAAAGTAATGGATTACTCATTTGTATTTGCAATTCCATCAGTTCATCCTACCATCTTGTTGCTGTTAAACCTAGTGGCTTTCTTTGGCCTAACATGAACCTACTATATCAAAGTGTGGAAATTAAATTTCTGAGATTAAAAATAAAACTTTATTTTGGACTATGAGACTTACATATGGAATACTGTAACAAAAACCCAGTTACTCTCACCCATCTTCACCAAATACCAATGCCCAATCTTGTTTCATCTACAGTCCCTAATCCTTCTCCCTTCACCAATAATTTACTGTTATAACCTATGAGAAATGTCTCCTTTATTCTCAGATTGAGTTGCCCATTCCTTCGCAGACAAAATGCAAGCCTTAACTGGTGATAGGTTAAATGACTCAATAAATTTATCAAAGCCAAACAGTATTTTCCTATGCTGAAGTAAATCAATTATAAAACCACAAATTATAAAATGGACAAAAACAAAAACATCAGTAATAAGAATTTATGAAATTCAGTTTTTATTACATGCCTTTTAGTGTTCAGAGTTTGGAATGGACAACAGTGCAGAGTGGATAAATGAACATTATTTTGCTGTACAATTATTTTCCATGTACAATTTGCACGGAAGACAAGTTTGGTCGTTAGAAATATTTGGTTTAGCCAAACAAATTACTGAATTCTCACAGCAAAACTATGGTTATGGAGACAGGTAGGAGTAGACTTGAAGCAAGGTATGAAAAGAAGAAGGTGTCAAGTGGTCTCTGTTTTAGGGTCATTGTTAATTTGGATGTGCTTGGTGTGGCAAGGTATGTTTGAAGAGTGTGATCCTGTACTGGTAAAAAATATACAATGTGGTAAACTAGTATTACCTCAATTAAAATTTTTTTTTAGTTTACCTGGCTTTTTTCCAAGGTAAGGGTTATTTATGGGAGACTTCAGTGGAAAAGAAGAAAATCCTTGTTAGAGGCCGAACATAAAACAGCTATAGTTATCAGTGAGTTAAGAGATTAAATAAACAGGAGAAAATAGCATTTGTAGGGCATGGAGCATCAGTTCATCTTTTCATTATGAATAGAAATGGGGAGGGATTGAATTGACAAAGTTTTGGAGGTTATCAAGGAGCAGCATGTATAACAGACTTTCCAAGTTCATCTACTGGGTATAAGGAGTAATTAGGGAATGAAAACTCTGACTGTGAGGGTCATTTAATGTGTTTAGAAAGTAGGTGAAACTAATATTTGGTAGCAAATAAAAAATAAGTTTGCTATCATCAACCAAGCTATCAAGAGACACCTCACTGACTGAGATCTCTGGATTTCAATTCCACTCACTCATCACCTCTCCAAGTCCTGACCTGACTGCCATTGATTTTATTTATAACTCACCTTTCACTTTTTATTATGAATATAAACAAAGATGGATTTCCAAGGCATTGTCTGTCCCTACCTTGATGTACCACAGACTGAGGAAGAAGATAATCGTGGGAGAGATTTACAAAGGTTTCAGTCTTCTCTCCATAGTCTTCAAACACCTTTATGATATTGGGTCAAATAAATAATAACTATTCAAAACAAATTAATTACTTCAAGTATAAGCTAATAACCTGTTTCACCAAGTACCTTCCTAACCTCTCAGAAAATAACAAGCTAATGGAAAAGTCACCTTTGAATTTTGAATTTTCCCATGGCTAGATTAAAAAAATAAATTTATCCTGATTACAGGGAATATTAGCCAGCACTTAGTGATAAGAAGCTTCAGGGTTCAACTATTGCACATTTCAATAGCAAGTTACCAACACAGAATTGAGTGTCCACTTACACAAAACGATAACTACAATTTAAACAAAAAACTTTGTACCCCAATTTTCTGCCTTAAAGGGCAGCGAGAAGAGCACCCCAGAACACAGCCCTATTACACCTATAATCACACAAGCACAATCATCTTCCTATAAAGGGACCAAGTGACAAGAACATCTTATTTTACATAAGTCTTATTCCCCTCCCAATAGTTTTTTACACGCTAAATACAACAACAACAACAAAAATCACTTCCTATTTAAAATGCACTTCCATTTAAAGGAGCCTCAGAATGACTATCCTTTGAAGAAGTTTTTGCAAATAATCACCGTCTGTAGGTCTCATTAATGTAAAAATGGTTTATCACCCTCATTCTTGGCAGTTAACTGCTGCAAAAGAAGTGTAAATCGCCAATTTATGGGATCAATTACAAAATTGGGGTTCAAATTAGTGGGAACCTTTTACAGAACTTGGCACTCTGGAGACTCGGCATTTACTAAATGAATCAATTGGGGCTTTTTAAAATTCATTTGTGGACAATCTCTACCTTTACTCAACTACTGTTACTGGTAACCAAACCTGTGGCATGGCGCATTATACCTAGATCACACGTATCACATGGCTGGTGCAGTCTTAATATTAACAAGTACACCACCCCAAGAATTATTATAAGTAAAACTCCACATCAAATGACGTCTATAAAGTCTCTTTTTAAACTGTAACTTAAAAGTTATGTTTCCAAAGGCAAAGCACTAGCACAAGGGAAGGCAAGGTTGAGAAAGCTCAAGGTGCAAAAAGCTCGGTTTTCAATCCTCTCTCCTGGACTACTGCCAACAACCGCCTGATGCCAGAGCCATAATAAAAAACTGGGAAAACTGAAGACCTCGGATTGGGTTTCTTCCCCTAAATGTGTGCAAAACTAAGATGTGATTAGTCATGCATCGCCTCAGCGTTACAGGAAATAGACGCTCTGACCCCACGGTGATTTAAACGTGAGAAAGGGAAACACGATTTTTAAAAATATTTCCTTTCTTCCAGGCCCGGAGGGTTAAGAACACGGAGAAGAATAACAAAAGCCAGCAGCGAGGTCATTAGGATTTAGATTCGGCTAGATAAGGCAAACGTGGTCTAGATCTGGGTTAGATGTCTGTATGGTCTCACGTCACTTCTGACGGTGATAACACCAATCCACACCTTAACGTAGCCCCCTTTCCCAGTCTGGCTCGGAGCTCGAAGGTTAACCGAACGGTTACCCTTCTGCATCCCAAGGTTACAGGCTCGGCGGGCGCGCAGGGCAGCCGTAACAGCCCAGGAAGGAACCGAGGAAGCTGCAACCGGCGCGCAGGCCGCCAGCCTCACCCGCTCCCAGGTCCCACTTCACCTCGTACGCTGGAAGTCAGACTCATGGCGTCGTCGCTTGCAAGGCGTGTGTACACGGGACACTAGCACAAACTGCTCGCGCAGACAGCCTGAGCGTCAGGGTGCGAGAGGCGTCCTAAGGGCACCGACTTCAGGCTGCTACCGCGCAGGCGCCGCGGCGGGCCGTGAGCACGTGTGTGTTAGCCACCCTAGTTTAAACGAGCATGCGCAGACCTCAGTTTCGATCCTTAAGGAAGTCTAGATAGCTGACTTTGACAGCCGGGGTAGTGGAGGGCGGTGGAGGAGGAAAGCGAGAGAGGTAGCAAGTGAGTTTGCGCAGCCACGAGGGGCGGAGTTCTGGAGCACTGGAGCAGGACTTTGGGAATGTGTAGTCCAGGCCAGATTTTGTTTTTTCCAGGTGTGTGCGTTTCTCAGGACTGCGGACAGGTGCTAGTAGGGAACTTGCCATAATCAGAAATACAAGATATTGCAAAATGTTCTTGCTCTGTCTGGTACCTGGTACCTGCTCAGTCTGGTACCTGAAAGGCCAGGTCCAGTTTTCACAGAATGCCATTCCAGAACGTATCCTCGGCGCTCATTGTGTAACCCTTTTTTCTGCCTTTGACCCTGTTATCTATTGCGGGCCCGGAATCTGCAATTCACGGACCGAGTGGTTAAGAAAAACACCTTTTTTTGTTTTGTTTTGTTTAAGGAAAAATGTGTTCACTTTTAATACAGCCTTAAGATTATTCTCTATCTTCTACTGCCTGAAATCATCGTCGGTTCTAAAATGGTTTATAAAAGCGGTTTAGGGGCACGGCACTAATTTGGGGAGAAGGGCTAGGATTAATTTTGAAGGGTGTCTTGAAGGAGCTTCTTCTAAGAAGCTGCTCGCTTTATACTCCTAGTGTTTCTGTGCTGGGTGGGAGGTGGCGGAGGTAGATTGTAATTAAGGGGCGGCCTCCCAAGATACCTAGGCAATGCTACAGCCTCCCAACTATAATACATGACTTAACTGCTCCTCACCTTTGGATCCCCTGGCTTTTTGAGCCCGCCCCCAGGAAGAGCAGACTCGCGCACAGAATGAATTAGGGCACGACGGTCTGACGGCTACAAAACGCCCTTCTGGCGGTCGGGGTCTCAAGGAACGCGAACGCGTTCGCATCCCAGAGGCCTTCAGCCCGCCGGGGCCGCGCGGCGCGCCCGTCCCGCCGAGGGGGGTCTGTCGGGCAGCCTCTGGGCATGCTCAGTAGCGGCGGCTGCCGCGGGTCGCGCAGTAGGAAGCTCCAGCGGCTCTGACGAGCGCGCGGCAGCTGAGGGGACTGGAGGACGGCGGGAGGGGGCGGGGGCGCGGGAGGTGGGGCCGCCGTCGCCGTCAGGGCCCCTGGGAGCGCGGGGCGCTGCCGCCTCTGCGCCTCTGCTCGGTTCCGTCTCCAGTGCTGTGCGGCGGCGGGCCGCGCCTGCAGAGCAGCGGGAGCCTGGAGCCGCGCTCAGCCGAGAGTTGGGTTGGGGAGCGCCCGCGCCTCCGCGGCGTCATGGGCCCCCTCCCCGGGCCTCAGCGGGCACCAGCCGCGGGAACCCCCGGGCCTCCTCGCGGCCGAGCCTGAGACCCTCTGGTTCAGCGGCGCCCCCTCCCTCCAGCCTAATTTTTTCCTGCTCTCTCCGCCGCCGCCGCTTCAGTTCTCCGTTATGGCAACGGAGCCGCCATCCCCCCTCCGTCTTGAGGCGCCAGGCCCCCCAGAAATGCGGACCCCACCGGCGAGCGAGGCCCTCCCTGAGGGCACCCCGAAGCCGGCGGGCGGCAGGCTCCGTTTCCTCAACGGCTGCGTGCCCCTCTCGCATCAGGTGGCCGGGCACATGTACGGGAAGGACAAAGTGGGTAAGTAGGGGTGGCGTGGGGATCCCCTTCCGCCTCTGCGAGCCCTTGGGCGACCGAGGCTGCCCTGTGCTCGGGGGCCGGACTGGAAGCCCCTGCGAGTCTGCACGCCATGCTCCTGCTCTCTTCCGCTCATTCTCGCAGCCGTGCGACGCGAGCCTCAAGGGCTCAAAAGTGGGGCGATTTGTAGGGCGTCGGGCTCGCAGCAGGAGGTAGCGGGGAGAGAAGTGCTAGTGGCGGGTCTCCCGAGGGAGGGCAAGTGCTGATTGGAGAAGTCGTTGTAAGTGAAAATAAGGAACTTCGTTTTCACTGGTTGGGGAAGTAAATTCTCCCCCCGAGCACTAGATCTGTTTATTATAAGCGGGTAGCTATTGCAACAGCAAAGGAATGAAATGCAGATGATGCTAATCTAGGGCTTCTCTTCTGGGTGCAGCTGCATAGCTGGAGGGGGAAGAAAATAACTAGGACTTTTTTTTTTTTTTAAGCTAGTCTTGGCCCCTATCTTTTCTCCTTGCTCTTCTGGAGAGGTTTTACCGATACCATAGGGATTTCGCTGGGAGGCGTGGTTCCAGTAGGGCTGAAACTCATTCGGTTTAGCCAAGGTACACCCTGCTGATGAACGAAAATGGCACATGGATAAGACATTCAGTTTTCTCGATCTTCTTCAAAAGATTGTATCGTGGCCTGTTGTACATTGTGTGAGTTCACAACAATTTAAAGCACAGTAAAGGCCTATCTCGGTTAATCTTGAGATGATGGAGAAATCCCATGTGTCCATGAGAACTTACCAGCTCACTGATACCGGTTCCTTGGGCCCGATTACTAGGGAGACTGTAATGGGTAATACGGGTCTAAGACCGTAAACCACTGGAGCCAATTTTATTTTCTTTATGCTAGTAAGATGATTCGGGTTCAGGCTGGTGAGATAATACATCCTTAGGGGAGCCGAGGACAACATGAGTTAAATGACAAGCCTAAAGTCACACAGCGACATTGTGTTAGAAGTAAGGAGACCAAAGATTCTGACTTAATGCACTTTTCCCACCGTGTATTGGCAGGTAACTTTAACAAGAATTTTGGGAAATAGATGAGTATTCGTTTGTTATTTCTTAGAATAGCAACATCCCTGCTATTATCTTTACCTACCTTTCTCTTGTTTAGTATTAAATGTCCTTATATATTGGTGCCTTTCTCCCCATGAAACTGTGATTTCTTTGACATTAAAGACTGTTCTGGTATTCTTGTACACAGACTGGGGCTCATGTCCCATTTGGGAAATGTTAAACTATTGAAAATTGACAGTTGTTTTAGTACCCACAAATAAGGAAACAAGGGAACAAATATAGTTCTTAGGTTGATTAGCTTAGAGGTTTTTTTCATGTGTATCACTTCTGATAGTGACAGTTTATGAATTGAAATTAATTGAATTATGTCGCATACCTATTGATTTATGTTAATGAAATGTAATAATATTTCTGCTAATAGTCTAGAAGCCTGAAAAAAAATTGTTTTCTTAATGGCCCTTAGAGTGACTTATGTGCAAAAGAGATCTGATAAAAAAATTCCCCAGGTAAACAATCTCATTAATGATTGTCACTTGAGTGTATAAACACTGCTTATCAAAGTATGTATTAGTGAGCTCATTCTGAAGTTATCTCTGCTTACAAAAGCATTTGTCACCCAAATTATTTTTTAAAATAGTAGTATAGATTCTAGAGGACTATTTAATGTTCAAGTAAAAAATAAAATTTATATTTTATATTGAATATAAAATAAAAATATGTATTCATTCAATTTGAAATAAATTTTTCCGTTTTCTTAGGTTCTCTTGACTAGGGACTCTCATCAAAGCAAATGTCTCAAATGTTGTGTTAGCAGCTTAAGTATTTGTTGAATTTAATTCTCTATAATTATAATTCTCTAATTTATTTATAACTTTTTCATCTATTGTCAGTGAAAGAACACCAAATTTTGATTATCTTCCCTATTCATAAGACGGATTACAAACTGGTCAGTAATTCAAAGTTCAAGAATTTATTATGTTGCTCCAGGATATAAATCACCTAGTTGTAAAGTATCACAGGAGGACTTAGTTTTGACTGTCAACTGAAATTCTCAGAATAGTTTCTTTAAAGCACTTTGTATGGATAGTTGATGTTAGTTTTGTTTTTAAAATTGTTAATAGGATTTTTCAATTTAGGGTTGATTTATTACCTAGTTTGAAAAAGGAGTTACGAGCTTTATTAAATTAAAAGCTAAAAGCAAGGACCCAAAAGCCTGCAGGTATTTGAACAGAAAAATGGATTTTACTCTATAAAGTAACAAGAATGTATTGTAGTTATCAGGACTATATGTCTGTTGTATTTTATGTTCTTCACTAAAATGATAGCTTATCTAGTGATACTTAAATCTTAGTTCTAACAATGCAAAATTTGTTTCTAAATTGAAATAGCAGTACATGATATTTTAGAGGAAAAATGTGAGCAGTAGAGTAAGTACTGCCCTTCCTACTTTTTTTCTCCCAAGGCCCTGGGTAATTATTTCTTGTGCGTCCATATAGGTTTTGTTTCTCAGCATATATATAATAAATATATTCCTGGGTAATTATTTCTTGTGCGTCCATATAGGTTTTGTTTCTCAGCATATATATAATAAATATATTATCACATTTCTGATTTTCTTACAGTAGGTGTTATTAACCAACTTTGTAATTTCAGTCAGTTGGGTAGTATATCTATAGTTCTGTAATTATGATGTGCTTGGAAATTGTGTTGTATTTACAGTGAAGATATATCATATTGTATTCCTCTAGTAGATATTTAGATTTTCTACTTTTTTTTTTTTTAAAGATTTATTTATTTGTGCATACAGAACTGGGGTACAGGCCAGAGGCTCAGGGGCTGCGAGAGGCTTCATCAGAGACAGAGTGGGGAGCACAGCAGGCAGATTGACAAAGTACACTGCTGAGGGGAGCAGCTGGTGGGTCAGTAGAGGTCTGCCATGCCAAGTGGTCACCTCCAGGGCAGGCGGGAATCGAACTCATGCGTAAGTGGCTTTAGCTTCTTAGTGCTGTGCTTTAACCCGCTGTGCCACCAGGAGGGCCAGATTTTCTACTTTTCATTAAAGATTTAATAATATTATTATATATAATAAATATTAAATATAATATTATTATATAAATATAATAATATTTATGCATATAGTACTGGGGTATAGGCCAGAGGTGCAGAAGCAGTGAGAAGATTAACTAGAGACAGAGTGGGGAGCAGAACAGGCAGGCTGACAAAATACACTGCTGAGGGGAGCAGCAGGCCAAAACAGGAGAGGTCTGGTGCACCATGTGGTTATCTCCCCAGGTGGGGATGGAAAGCTCCCAGCTTTAGCAGGCTAGCTTTGCAGTGCTGGGCTTTAACCCGTTTGCGCCATCAGGGAGGATCCAATTTTTAGATTTTCACCATTTCTTTGGTAAGAAATGTAGTAAGTAATAAAACATTCTTATACATTATGTCATTTTTTTTTTCATTAAGGCATTTTTAAATTGTAATTTAAAAAAAATTGAGATAGTAGGGCCCTCCCTGGTGGTGCAGCAGGTTTACTAAGAAGTGAAGCCACGTCAGCATGAATTCGATCCCTGCCCACCCTGGAGATGATCCATATGGTGCAGCAGACCAGCCCGCTACTCCTGACCAGCCCGCTACTCCCCTCAGCATTGTACTTCATCAGTGGGCCTGTTCTGCTCCCTACTGTCTCTGGTGAATCCTCTCACCACCCCTGTACCTCTGGCCTGTACCCCAGTTCTGTATGCATTAAATCTTTAAAAAAAAAAATTGAGATAGTGTTACTTTACATTGTTGTTTGTATTTTAGGAGTAGAGGGATCCCCCCTTCATGCGTTATCACCACAGTGCACCCTCTACCAAAAAATGCAGTTCACCTCCCTTCTGATTATAGCATGAGTGCTTATTGTGCAACTTTATAGGAAAATTCCACAAAAGTGTAACTGCTATCAATTTAAACTTTCAAAGCTTGCTAAATTAGCATGAAATCTTTTGTCTTAATTTTAATATATACCTTTTTTTTTTTTCAAAAGTCCTTAGAGTTTTAAACAAATGATTGAAATCTGATACTTATTTTAGTCTATTTTAGGATATAGAAATGAAGTAGTCTAGGAAAAAGAAGGGTTAAAATTGATAGTTTTACTGACTTAGTCTATTTTATAAGATAAAATTAATTTATATGGGTTAAGATGAGAGCACGGAACTTAACATTTTGCCAAATTTGTTTGAATTTTTTTTTGAACGATCTAAGAATAGATTGTCATATTCCTTTACATGATAATATTTCAGTATTTCTGTAATCACCGTATATATCAGATTGGGAAATTAGTAGTAATACAACGCTTTAATCTATTAGTCTGTATCCTGATTTGGTAAGCTTTTCCCATAATGTCTTTTCCCATATAGTATTTAGTGTTGCATTTAGTTTTCATGGCTCTAAGCTGCCTTAACTTTTAATAGTTCAGCGCTTTGTCTTTTACATTGTTTTTGAAGAATAAAGGCTAGTTCTTTTATGAAATATTCTAATTGAGTTTCTAATGGATTGTTATGGTGAAATTCAGGTCATATGTTTCTGACTGAAATATATAGGTGTACTTAAGATTTCACATCTGGAGACTCACAATGTCAATTTCCTTATAATTAGTGATACTAATTTTGGTCATTCATCCAATATGTAGTCATATTTATTCAATATACAGGTAATATTTTTTTCCCTTATTACACTTCATTCCTAGAGTTGGCATCTATTAATGAGTCTTGGCTGAAGAAGTCTTTACTGTGAAAACTTGTGATTTTTCCAATTCTGCTTTAACAGTCTCTTTCTGTTACAAGAAAGAGCCTTCTCTTTACGCCTATGCGTTCATGTTTTTGCTTGTGATAATTTTGTACTTTGGATTCTTATTTTGTAAAATGTCTTAACTCATTATAGAGCTTAGTAATCTTACTG